AGAAGCACAGGCAGGGGGGCAAAATGGCTGGTGGGCACGCAGCCAGGCTGCTGGGGGGTTCTGGGGGGCTGGTCACGTGTTGGAGGGTGTGGTGCGACCCCTGGAACAGACCAGATGAACTCCGCGTGAAGCCCCCAGCTGCCCCAAGACCAGCCCAGCCAGGCAGCAGCTCTGCCCCTCCTGCTCTCATCCTGAACCTCACAGAAGCCTTATTGTTATTTTTAATACAGTTCGTTTTTAGAAAGGTGAGAGGGAAACCGGCAGTTCACCAGAGCAAGAGGGAGAAAAAATAAAGCTAAACATAGTGCTCCAAAGGCCTGGTCCGGCTTCCGAAATTACATGTTCCCCTTTGGGATTAGGGCATAATTTGCCGCTCCAGTTCTGGGAGCACGTTCCCACCTCCACGGCGTCCCAGAGACTAAAACCGGAGCGGGCAGCTCAAAATTAGCCCAAGACGGGACCCGGGGAGCAGCCGGCCCCGGCACCCCCCCCCACCACAGGTGTGGGGAGCAAGCCTGCTGATGCCTCCTCCACACCAGCCTGAGCTTACCTCATAGCCTCCCAGGCCCACCACACACACACACACACACACACACACCTCTCCCACCTCCAAGCGGGTGCCCCAGCTAGCTCCTCTGCCCACCAGGAAGTCCCTCCTCTCCCCTCTGCTGTTCTCACCCCGCTCCCCCAGCCCCCTCGGAGAAGCTTTCCTGGTCCCCGAGCCCACACTGACCACACCAGGCCCAGAGTCCACGCTCCCGGTGTCCTTGATAATAAAGCATCTCACCGCTTTGCCATCACTCTGATCATCTCATTCGGGTCTGTGACATACCTCTCCTCTCTGCCAGCCAGAGTGGAAACTTCCTGAGAGGTGTCCTCCCCTCCAACCCTCCTCAACACACACATATTCCCCACCCCCAGGGTTTCTCCCTCTCTGCAGACTTAAAGAGGAGACCCCTGCCCAAGGAGGTCTCTTAGAGTGAGAGGCAAGAGTCACCCTTGACTGGTGGCTCCAGGGGCAGCTCGGGGCCTGAAGGTGGGTGATGTGTGGAGTGTGCAGGGGCACCACCTCTGCTTTGAGCCCCAAGACCCTCTAGGAAATGGTGGGGGGCACACTCTGGACATGTCCTACACTGTGTCTCTTCCCATCTTCACCATCAGAACACTGAGCATTAGCTTAATGAAAAAGCAGATTAGTAAACAAAGACTCCAATTTTGTTTCAAAGAGAGAAGTGGAGTCCGATTCAGACTCAGAGACAGAGAAAGAAGCCCAGGGTGGGGAGGGAAGGACAGAGGAGGACACGCTGGTGGCAGTGCATTCAGATGGTGTTCTTGGTTGGAGGCAATGAACAAATGTTCATTATTTTTCTTAATTTTCCAAACTGTATAATATGAACATGTATTTATAATCAGGGGGAAATGGTTATGTCCTTTATTTAAAGCAGAGCACGAGATGGAATGAAACAGCTCTGTGCCCTCCCTCCGAGGACCCCCCAGGCCTGCCCTCAGAAACTTAGAAGTCACGGCCAGGATCCTTGCGGCAGCACCACTGAGTCCGCACACGCATCTGCTCCCAGCCTCCCCACCTCTCACGCACACACACATGCACACACCACACGCGCACACACCACTCACACTACTCCCATCTCCAGGCTACGGCTTTAAAACCCATACAGAGGACAGCCACGCAGACCAAGAGCACACTGTGGGGTTGCCACACCCTAGCTTATCCCTCCCGGCCACCCACCCGCACCACGGGGGACAGTCCAGGAGGCCCCGCCACGCGGGACCCTCCTCACCCATAGAGATGGGGGCCCACCGCAGACAGATCTGCCTCATACGTCCCCTTCAGACCACATCTAGAACTGGCCATTCTTGACAGACATCAAAACGTTTCTGGACACCAGAGAAACGCTTGGCCATGGGTGTCAGCCTGGTGAACTGAGCCGCAGGAAAGTCTGGGGTGACATTTTCTAATGTGTGACAGCTCATCCCAGGCACTGGGGGGACGATGGGGAGAATGCTCATCAACAGAGAAGGGGCAACTGAGCAAGGAGGCAGAAGACACCAAGACAGAAGCCGGATCTGGCCAGAGAGCACGTGGAGCTGACAAGGAGCCCGCCGCTGAGTCCACGGCCAGAGCCGGTGAACATGGCAGCCAGCGGGGTCCACATCGCGGTGGGATTGAAACAGGCAGCCTAGAGACACGGGTCGCACAGACAGGAGCCAGCAAAATCCAAATTCTGCCGCACTTCTTGTCCCTCCAGTCCCCACAGGTCAGGGCCCTCAGTCCTATCTGCACTGGGTGAGGGGACAAGAGCCCAGCCAGAACTATCTGGAAAACCACTGGAACGGGAACCCACGGCCTCCTGGATCGGCCCTGGGATGCCTGGTCCTCCTAAGCCCTGCACAGGGGGTGTACAGCAGAGAGGAGGCGAGTGAAAGGTTCCCCGGGCCAGCCCACTCAGATCAGTGACCTCAGAGAAGGGCACAATACAAAACTGCTTCTCCCCAAAGCCCCCATCTGACCCCATCAGGCAGGGCTTCCTGGAGACCAGGACTGGTCTGCCTGGAGACCTCAGGCAGGGCTCCTTGAGAACAGGGTTACATCTCCTCCGTCAGACAGGGAGCTCGGCGAGGGCAGGGTCCAAGCCTCCTCCATCAGAGCAGACAGACCTCACTTCCTCCTCTCCCCGCCCACCTCTGAGGCCCGGGGGGCCCTGGGGCTCCTGGGCGGAGGGCCCTCCCCGTGTGGGCATGTCCCCATGAGCCCCGACCCCAGCTCCCCACCCTCTGCCTGGCCAGTGGCTCTAGACAGAGTGGCCGTGTGCTCCCACGAAGACCGCAGACCCTGCTCTGGCTCGGACCCCAGCCCTGGTTCACTCATGTCAACGCCGGGAGGACGTCCAGACTGGGCCTCCTCACCGTCTGCCTCTGGCTGTGCTCATAGCCAGCAGGACCCAAAATAGTCCCTCCCCATCTGAGTCTGTAGACATTTTGAGGGCGGCACACACAGAACGGAAATCCTGCTGGGCAAACTCTGCGCTTCCCTGCACAGACTCAGATGGCCCACCGAGGGGCGGGAGCGGAGCACTGGGCGCCTGGAGTTCGGGGAGAATTATCTGCCTCCTTCAGCTCCAAACACCCTCCCAGGCCAGAAGGCACTGGACTTGGGTGTAGCTGAATCCAAAATTTCCATATGGGTTTCCCCAGTCAAGAGACGCTCCTCCTTAGACCCATTCATCCATCTGTCCATCTGTCTACCCACCCACCCAACCACTCAGGCAGACTTCAAATGCCTCCTCTAAGCCAGGCCCTGTGCTAGTCATTGAGGACACAAAGAGGAAGGGACCCCACTCCCTGCCCTGAATCTAGTCTAGGAATGACGCTGACATTTACAGAGCCAGCAGGACTGAAGGCAAGCACAGTGACCAAGACAGAGACAGGACTTGCAGAAGAAGGGGAGGAGCCAAAACAGAATCCTGGAAAGAGGTGACCACGCTTAGGTTGAGTCTTCTTGTTTGTCTGCTTTTTCATTTTCATTTATTCTGTGCAGTTGAAAGTGAAAGTTTAAGCATCATACAGAAAAACCACAGAAGCTTCAGACACAGTGTTGTAGGTTGAGTCTTAAAGAATGACCTGGAGCCAGCCAGAAGGTGTCCCCAGTAGAAAGGACAGCGGGGCAGGGCCCTGGAGAGCCAAGGAGGTGGGAGAAATGGAGAGCTGGGGACTTCTGAGGACTCTCAGCACCAATGAAACTATAAAGCAAGACTGCCAGTCTCGGCGGCAATGTGGTTTAGGACGGAACACCAGAGATGGTCCCTTGGAAGTGACAGAAAGGTGAAAGAGATGAGCATGAGAGGCAAAAGCAGAAATCAGCCCTAAATGTCAGAGGGAAGCCCCCGTGAGCACATCTCAGGGACAGCTTTGAGGATCCCCAGCCTAACCAGCACCCAAGTTTGTTTTCTTGCTCTCAAGGCTGATATTTGATTGATGGTTTAAAGAAAACTTCCAAACTACCAGCCCTTCCCCAGTGAACAGGCTGTGGGCCTGAGGACTACGTAGGCTGGGAGGCTCTGCCCAGAAGCTCTGGGAGTCCCAGGTGCCAGGGGTGTGGCCAGAATCAAGCAAAGCCAAGAGGAGGGTGACAACCTGGAACAGAGAGTGACAAACTAAAACAGAGCTGCTCAGAGCTGGTGCTCACAGGAGGCCCTTCTCCACCTCCCCTGCAGGAAGGACTGGTGGTCTCAGCCATACGGGACTCCCAGTCACCCCAGGGTCCAAGATGGGGAGAGTGCTCCCCCTCAGTAAGAGATGCCCCAGACCTCCTGCCATGCTGTTTGGCCTTGGCGTCTGGCCACCAGCTCGCCCTGTTGCAGAGCACACAGCAAAGGACGGCCTTCTACCTGCCGGCAGAGTTGGACTCCCTCACAGTAAGACCCCTCTCCTCCCCTCTTCCTTCCCTGCAGGTGGAGGAAATGGAGCGAGAGGGACTACTGGCTTGAACACAGACCCCTCCCTCAAGCTGCTTCCAAGGTGCTACTAAGCACAAATCCATATACGAATCTACAGCGGAAGAAGGTCGTAGCTGGGATGAGGCGATGGGGCTGGGGCACCCCAGAGACCGCCCGTCACCCCCTCTCCATCCTCCCTCTCTCCCATTTGCTCCCCTCACCCTGATTTCCTGGGTGATCTTCAGGGGACAGCTCTCAACATGGCCCTCAGGGTAGAGGGGCCATTTTTCTCAGATGCTTTGGGAGAAATGATTGGATCTTGCCCAGAAGGTGACACACAACCTCCCTCCCACCCCTCACCCCACTCCCAACCAGATTAAAAGCTCCTATCTGGGTCCTTCCATCTGGAAGGTGTCCAGTCACCAGGCTGCAGAGGGAGACGTCTTATGGAGACTGTGATGAGGAAGCCGGGGGAGGGTGGCGGAGAGAGGGCCATATGCCAGCTCTTGGCGGGAGCCGGCGCCTCACCACAGGGACCCATCCTACCTGAATGGGGATCAGCGGTTCCTTGTCGTCCACATCAATGAGTACGTCTTCCCCAGGACTGAGTAAGCTCACGTCATCTGTAGGGGGGCAGTGCCCAGGCCTCAGGGGGGCTCCTTCAGGGGGCTCGCCCCTCCTGAGCCACAAGACTCGGCCCTTGGTCTCCCACACATCTCACTCTGGGTCTTCGTCTTCCTCCACGTTCTGGGCTCCCCAGGTCTCTCTCCTCCTCCCCTCTTCACACTGATCCCTGCAGCTCCCTCTGCCTCAGCCCTCCCCACACCACCTCCCCTGGATGGGGATGCCCAGAGCCGGGCGATGCCCTGAGGGCCAGAAGATCCCCACCCTCCCTCCTGCTCAGCTGGGCAGAAGCCATTTCTCACTCAGGTACCGGTAAGAGGAGGGCTTGGGGACCCGCCTCAGCTGGGAAGTGCGCCCGCCCAGCCCCTCTGCCCGGCCCTCCCCATCAACAGCCCCTCCCCTACCTTGGCCACCCTGTGGGGACGGACTCTCCTCTGAGTAAGGGTCACACAGGAAGCTCTCCAGGGAGCGGATGGTACACTGGCCCACCACAGGCCGGCGGCCAAACTGGCGGTTATCAATGACCTTGACCACGATCGGGGGGCAGTACAGCTCCTCCCTGGGCAGCATCTGGGCGGAAGGGGAGAGAAGCTCTGGGCTGCGGCCTGAACCCTTCCCTCTCTGGGAGGCCTCAGAGGGAGGGGGGGCCTTTCTTCACAGGGCCAGAAAATGGCTCAAAACCCACACATAGCCCCCAGCAACCGTAAATCCACAGCGGTGGCTGGCCGGGCCCGGGAGCCGGCCGCTGCCGCAGGAGCCGCACACCTTTCTGTCGGCCTCTTGAATGCTGTGTGCGGAGCCTGACTTTCCCCCACAGCTTTACCTTCCCTGCACAGCCAGCTCGGCCCGAAGTTAGAACAAGGCTACTTTCCCCGAATTCTCTCTGGCTGGGGAGCGGAAGAAGGGAGAAGTTGGCCCAGGTCTCACCGTTTCTCGCAGACAGTCCCCCCCAAGTGGATACTAAAGAGTTGGCTTACAGACCCAGATTCTTCTCCCCCCAACCCCAAAAGCACTTTGAACACAACTTGAAATAATTTATATGCTCTCCTTCGGTGGCGGCTTTGGCTCAGCCAAGAGGAGGCTCCTGTTGACAGCCACTGGGCCTGGAATTTCTACAACACTTTCATCTCGCAAACCATTTTCCTTTCCTCAGACTTGCCTTCCTCTGGCCACTAGGCCCAGGCAGCCCAGGGAGCTGGAGAGGGCTGGGGCCTGAGGGGGGAGCCCCTCTGTGGGGGCCCAGGCTGGGGGAGGACCAGGTCCCGGAAGGTTCTGGAGGAACCCCAGGAGGTCCGAGCCCTGGCAGGCCCCTGAGGGGAGCACCGGGGGGGACCAAGGCCTGCCCGGATGGGTCCTGGGGACATCTGTGGACTTGGGGTCTGGGGAGGAGGGGGCAAGCTGGCCCCACTTGAGCTTCTCCTAGGCTTCAGCTCCTCCAGTGAGGAGAGACTGAGGGTTCCCTCCCCGTTCTCAGGGGAGGTGGGAGCCATCCGGTGCCCTACCCAGAATCCCATGGGGAGCTGCCCCCCCCAGCCTGCCCGGGGCCGCGAGGAAATTCCACCCACCAGGGCTCTGGAAGGGGACAGCAGCAAGGCCACGCTCACCACTTCCATGAAGAGGGTGCAGGTGTCGAAGTTGGGGTTTTTCCGGAGGTTCTTGATGACACAGGACTGCACCGTCTGGCCCCCGCACTCCACCACCAGGCTGGGGGAGGACACACTGGCCATCTGGTAACTCTTCATGTTCCGAAGGCCCCATGCCAGGATCTGGGGACATGAGTGAGGAGAGCGTCTAGAAAGGCCCCAGCCCCCAAGAAAGGCTGGGCCAGGAAGGGGAAGGGCCAGCCTGCCCCCCAGCCCCCACGGAGCCAGGCTCACCTCAACGGCAGTTCGCTGGAGAACCGGCTTGATGTTCTGGGGGACCATGTAGATGTTGGCCTCCCTCTGGGGTGGTGGGTAGGGCAGGTCTGTGTCCTCCGACTACAGGAGACAAAGGCGGGAGCAAGGCCAAGGCGGACAGACGAGAAAAATGGACAGATGGGACAGAAAGAAGGACATGTGTGCAGACACAGAAACAGAAAGACGAGGACACAGGAGTGGGCAGACAGAAATGAGAGAGCTAAGTCAGTTCTCCAGGCACCATCTTCTCCAGGATCGTAATTCAAGCATCTTGGCTCAGGATTCAGGTGACTCTGTTTCAAGTGAGCCCTGGGACACCCTCTTCCCTGAGCTGTTCACAGTGTCCCCGTCCCTGACATACACACACACACACACACACGTGCACAGACAGGCACTGCCCAGACCAACGTGACACATCCACTTCACCCCTCTCCATCCCAGAGAGGACCACGTGCCCTCCTGCTAGCCTGGCTCTCCTGCCTCCTGGCTCAGACCCTCCCAACTTACCGCCCACCCAGATGTTCTGTCTCCACCCCCACCCCCCGCACCCACAGACCCCTGCCCGCCCCGAACTCCCACCTTTCCCACCTGTCTCCCATGAGGACAGAGCGCTTGCACCGTGAGCCAGAGGGGGTATTTACAATTAGAAGAAGGGGATACAAATGCCCACCATCCACAGGCACCAAAGTGTGCACTGGGGAGGCTCCTTCATAGCACAGACCAGAAATGAGGGTGGCAAGTGTCAATGCTGCCTACTACGGACTGGCCAAAAGGCTTGGGCAAGAATCTCGAAGAAATACATGGGGCAGCAGGCAGGGCAGAGGAGGCAGTCAGTATCACGGATTAGACCACTACCACGCCTAACAGTGGTTAGAACACGGGCTCTGGGTATGAATCCTGACTCTACCATTTAGTGACTTTTAAATTATTTTACTTCTTTATTCCAACTGTAAAATGGTTATTAAAAATTATCAAACTCTAAAGATTGATGTGAAGCTTGAAAAGTTAATACAATATTGAGAAGGGTGTCCTGTTCATGTAAACTCTTGACTAGCATAACTAGCCCACGCGGCACCTTTGTGACGATCAGAGAAAGATGTCCCTTTCTTAAAACTCTCTACTTCCATGTCAGAAAAATCATCATGTTACTAGTTTATCAGAAGACACTTTACTGCCACCTACTGGAAAATTGTTAGAATAAGTATGAATATATGGTATCTGCACTGGAAATTGCACCCCCTTAGGCCCAGTGTGCTTATGCAGTGCACAACCTGCACATCCATGCATGGGCAGCCCTGACACTCAGGAAATGTTAACTGTAAAAAGGACTGTGCTGGACGTTTTACGGAGCTTGCCTCATGGAATCGCATTCATAAACACTGGAATCATTGGATTCATTCATTCTCCAAGTCACTTGCTCTGGGTTCCTTCTCAAAGGATGGTGCAGCCTCCTGTAGAGGCTCTGAGGTAAGTGGTGAGAGCGGCTGGAGCACTGAAGCGCACCAGCTTCCTCTCGCTTCATCCTTTCACAACCAGCCCCAGCTGCCACTTCTGCCCAGGGACACACTAATGATGCTACGCTTCCACGACCTGTGGCGCCAAGAAGCTCATTTCTAGAATCAAACCAGACCCTGGTTCTAGTTCTAACCCTGTGGCTTGCTAGCTATTTGATCTTGGGCAAATGACTCAACTTCTGTGACTCAAGACCCCCCTCTGAAGGTCGGGGATAACAACACCCTTACACAATTCCTCTGAGAATTTAACAAGAGAACAAGTATAAAGAGTTTCTGGCACACGGGAGCACTTACTGAACGGTCGTGACTGTGCCGACAGATGTATTGGTGGTGGTGCCACATTTTTACCATTAGTGTCATAGCTGATGCCCCAGAGTGACTTCAGCAGAGCCGAGCCATCAGAAACACCTCTCTGAACAATGCCGGCTTCCGAACTATCGCTACGTCACCAGGGGTATGACGGAATGAGGGAAAGCATCATTTTCCTCCAGACCCGCAATGCAGGTGACAGGATGTAGGAAGTACCTACATTTTTAGACTGGCTGAGGGACACAGGCCACCGAGAGGAGGAGTGATGTGCAGGGCAGTCAGGGGCACAACTCCACGGGGAGCTGTGCCCACCGCAGTCCACACGAATGGTGCCCCTGCAGGGTGGAGGCAGAGTCTGCAGTGGCCTGGATGCTATGGGGACTCCTGGCTTGGTGTCTACCCTTGGCACCCCCAGGCCACCTGGTACAGCGACTGTGCACAAGGCTTGCCTCTTTAACAGAGAGGTTATGCCTGAAGGCCTGCTTGTGGCCTAATGCCCAGCCCACCGTGGGCCCAGAACCAAAAGCTCAAGGTGAAAGGGACAAACAGAAGGACCCAGAGAGGGAGCAGCCCAGGCTCCTGATGGGGAGGCAGGAAGACCAAGCCTTTCTCACGTGGCTGCAATGTTCTCCTGAAACCACCCAGGGAAGCTCATCAATATACCTCCCCCTTGAACATTCCTCTCCAGGCCCCCAAACTCTGGGCAGTGTCCCTTTGACTCCTTTTTGTCCCTCACGTCCATGTTCCGCCTCTCCCTCTGGGCTCCCTCAAGCACCGTGTGGTGACCCTCCTCTCTCTATGTGGAGGCCCAGGCTCCCCACCTCGGGAACCTGTTTATGGAGGACAGGGAACGAGAACCTGGAGAAGACTGGGCTCCAGTACCGTTGGCAGGAGGCCCTGGAGGAAGAAGGCAGGTGCACACAGCTGCAGAGTGAGCGCCAGGCCCCGCGGAGGCAGGAAGGAGAGACAAGCAGAGACAGTGGTTAGATGTGCATCCAGGGGAGGGCAGTTTCCTCGGACCTGGTCCCCATTCTCCCCTCAAGGCCATCTCCATCCACCACGCTGTCCTCAGGGGTCCCAGAACCTCCTTGCTCCCCACTCTTTGTTGCCACTCCCCAGAACCCCTGCCCCCTCCACCCAGCCGCAAGCTGCCCCACAGTCCTTGCCCCCTGTCCACTGTGCACACCGGGCACCCATCATCATCACTGCACATCTCTGCCTCCGAGCTCTCTGGCTCTCTGACCCAGTTTCATCCAGTCCTCCCCAATTTTCCAGACTGTCTGCCAGATCTTTTCCTTCCCCATTTAAAGACAGCCTCAAGATGGTCTCTCAGGTCCATCCATGCCTTCTCTCCATGTCCTCTCCAGCAGCCTCCCTCCTTGTCCCCTCTCTTTTCTTGAAAAGGAGTGCCTCCATCCCCTACCTCTCCTTCGCTTCCATGCATCCCTCCACCAGGTTCCCTCTGCTCTGCCCCTTGGCCCCCTCCCTGGAAACTCCTCTCTCCAAAGTTAACAACAGCCTGCTTGCAGCTCAACCCAAAGGAAACTCACGGGCTCCTATCTCTGTCCCTCTGTCAGCAGCATCCAGCCAGTGGACCTCAGCCTCCTTCTGAAACCATCTCTCTGGTTCCACGCTGCTGGCCCCTCCACCCTCTTTCCCCTCTGTTTGCTGCATCTCCCTGGCAGCCTCCCCCTCATCTCCTGGCCCGCCCTCTCCTGGGCTCTCTGCTCCCAAAGATCTCTCCTTAGCCCGGGACCCACATTCCCAACCTTACTGCTTTGTCATCCATGTGTCCTACTGGCCTCTCACCTTGAACTCGTCCCAAACTGGATGCTCTAAGTTCCCCCTCAAAACCTGCTCTCTTCAAATGTCATCTCAGAAACCAGCCCCACCATCCACCCAGGCAGCCAAGCCAGAAACCCCCACGCCACCCTCAGCCCCTCCCCCGTGATTGGTCCCCAAGGGACCTGTCTCCTAAATCTCTCTCGTGCCCACCCGCACCCATCTTCTTTCCTGGGTTTGGGTCACCCGCCTCTCTCGCCTGGATGCGCCAGCATCCTAAGTGGGCTTTGCATCTGGTTTTGCACGCGCCCTCCCAACTTGAACGCGTGCTGTACTGCGTTCAGGTGGCCGGGGGAGCTTTCTAAGACTGTCACTCTGCTTAAAGCCCTTCAAAGGTTCCCCACCCACTCAGGGTGAAATCCAAACTTCTTGACATGTCCTCCAAGACCCCTCATCTTCTAGCTCCTACTGACCTCTCTGGTCTCACCTCCCACCACATAACTTTCCCCTCCAGGACCCCAGGCAGTGAGGAGCAATCTCCCGGGGACCCACTCCACACCTGTCCTTCTGAGCTCCAGCAGGTGACAGGAGGTGTCACCTTTACTGTGAGGTTGGAGCTTGCTGGTCCTGTGTCTGAAGTGTCCTTCTGCCCACTTCACCTGGCTACTTCCTGCTTGGACTTCAGGTCCCCTGAAACCTTCCCTGGAGCCCCAAGTTTCAGTTAAGCATCCCACGGTTCCCATAGCAACTTGACTCACTCCCACTGAAAGACACATCTATGTCATTTCTATGGGTTCATTTGTCTGCGTCCCTTGTTCAACCAGCAACTCTGCACACAGGGACCATAGGTGGATCCCCGTTTAATAAATAAAGGCTTATGAATGGACAATTGAAGGGAGGGGGGCAAAGGGATGAATGTGTGGAGGGAAGGGCAGACGAAGAACTGACTCAACACACTCTCCAGTCCTTCCCAACACTCCTGTCTGCGCCAGCCTGATCCTTGCATCCTTGGCCACCCTTCCTCCCCCAGCGCCGGCTCAAGGCTCCCCCTGTTTCAATGGGCTTCCTTTGCCATCTTCCAGAGTCTAACAAATCTTTCAGGGCCTAGTTCAAACTCCACATCCTCCAGAGAATCTCCCCAACCACTCCAGAAACTTCTTACAAGCCTCCTCTCTGAGTTCTTTTTACTCTGAGTGACCCTGTGCTCGGGTTTCCCAAGGTCCTGACTGGCCTCCGCCATCTCATACCTGGCAGTCCTGTGGCACCAGCCAGACAGCCAGCTCCTGGGCCCAGTTTCTCAATTTTTTCCTGGTCCAGCCCATCTGAGAGGCACGGTACATCCTCCTTCCCAAACAGTGATTCTCAGGGGAGGAAGGCTGCAGGGACCCCTACCAGCACTGCCAGGCAGGGCGTGGATGCAGACTGGAAGTGCCTCCAGGACACCCGGATTCACTGTCCTATGCGTGGCGGGGGACTCAGAAGACCACAGGCCTCAAATGCAGCCATACCATGGAAGGCTAATTGGATGAAGCCACATTTGACCACCCCGCTCCGTGCTCATTGAATGCAGGCGGGCATGCGGCTGCTACACTGATGGGGCTGTGCAGATGTGCAGGGTTTACCGAGGCAGCTCAGACCAGGGGGACAAGAACACGAGGATACATGAGGCTCTCTCCCCATCTGAGCAGAATCCACCCTACGCCCCCTTTCATCCATCCGTCCTGCTGGCCAGTTCAGTGCAGGGAGCCAAGGCCCTGAGCCATGAGGGGGGGCTTCTCTCCCAGTCCTGGGGCCACCACACTAGGCAGACATGCATTCCCTGGGCAGAGGGCAAATGTGAGGAGGTCCCTCCCGCCACCCAGGTCAGTCCTGCCACCCGTGGCCCAAAGACCCCCTCCTCACCCAGCAGGGCACAGTCAGGGGACCCTCTGGACACTCAGATCCTGGTTCCTCGGGGAACTGCAGGCGGGGGCAGCCGGGCCGGCTGGGAGGGCTCCACTGTCTGCCTGCCCCACCCAGCTCGTTAGGAAAAACATGCCGCTCTAATTACACTTCCCAGGAAAAACAGTGTTTTAAATTAAAGCCTTGGGGGAGGGACAGGGGGATGGGGGACCACTGGGCTCATTTTCCTGATTGCAAAACACCAAATTTTTCCTTCTGGTGGATTTGGGGGTGCCGGAGAATACCTCATGGATATCTCAGACTAAAAGCCATAGCATGTTGCCTGGATTAGGAAGGGGATGGAGTGACATCTGGTTGGCCCCCAACTCACAGCCAAAAAGCCACCAAGCACGCTCTCCCTTCTGCCAGGGCATCCCTTCACCGAGCGGGACAGGAGAAGCAGAACCAAAGGCAACATGCACTGCCATGGCCCTTAGACGCTCAGGACCACGAGCCCCTGCTCGCACCTAAAGGGTCCCCAGGAGGGCTCTTCCTCTGCACGTGCTCCGCGTCCTAGGGGGCCCCCTATCATTAAGGAATCTGCCATCACCTCTTCTGCTGTGTGTGCGTGCACGTGCGTGTGCTCCCGTGAGTATGCACCCTTGCATACACTCACACGTGCGTGTGCATTCTCCATTTCGCAGGAAATCTAAAATTGCAGTTTCTTTGAACTCATTCCCCTTGGCAGCGCAGACCGCCTTTGTTCTCCAGACAAAAAGGAAAAGAAACGAGACAGAGGGCTCAGAAGAGGAGGGGAGAAGGAGGGAGAGAGGGAGCCGGGGCCAAGGAGCAAATAGAGGAAAAGGGAACCGTGAAGGGAGAGCTGGAAGAGGGCAAGGAAGAGGGGAAACAGCAAGGGACAGACAGAAAGACAGGCTGGGAGCCAGAAGGAAGCAACCCCACTTTGCCTGCGCTCTCTGCGAGGACCCAGGTCTCCCAGACACCGAAGTTTCAGAGACACAACACAGCAGTCCCCCTTCCCCACCAAGAGCCCTGGAGAGATGCGCTCCAGATGGGTAAAAAGCCTGGGGGAGGGGAAATCTTGTTGCCAACCAAAGTGACACCAAGTGGTGGCATGCCCTCCAGCCCGAGGCACTGCCGCCTGCACCCCTGAAGGGAGCTCAGTGTCACCTCTTCCAGGAAGCCATCCCCACGGTCCCCGTCTGCTCTGGGAGCTCTCAGCATGGCTAGACGACTTGTAGCTCATTCACTACCCTGTCTCCCACGTAGGTGTGGGCTGTGCTGACAAGAAGGCAGTCCCCACTGGAGAGGTCGCCCCTAAACCATCCTTCAGAGTCACTTGCCCCGCTCCGTTCCTCTCTCTAGTCTTAGCCCTCATCACCACGAGCTGTCTCAAAAGCCCCCTAGCTGGTGTCTCCTCCTGCCCCTGGCTCCCCAACCCACACCTCTCTGCAGCCAGACAGCTCCCTAACACACCCATCTGCCCTCTCTGCTCACACACTTTTGAGGGCTCCCATGGCCAGTGGCCCAGAATCTAAGCTCCCGGCACAGCTTTCCGCAGCCCTCCAGGACAGCTGGAGCACTCTTCACAGGTTTCAGGCTGGGAGCCTGGAAGGGGCTGAATGGGGGATGCAAAGCAGGAGCTTGGCCGCAGCAAAGAAGACAGAAAATTCCTGCTAAGGCGTCAGGCTTCCTGCAGAACCAGCAGCAGCAGCAAGACTAACCTGCCTCCACCCCATCCCTGGGGATTCTTAGAACCAAATAGGACCCGGGACTTTGGCACGAGTCTTAGGCTTCAAGTGCAGGGGAAGTGGCTGAGCTGTGGGCCCCAGAGCTGGGGCGGAAGCCCTCTGGGGATGAAGGGGTCACAAGATCACCTTCTGGGGTGGTTCCCCGGATCAGCTGATACTCCATTCATCCTACTGGGCCTGGGACCCTTTGAATGTACGAGCCAAGCCCTGTGCCCAGCAGACCCCCGGAACTTGCTCTCCTCTGGCCCTGCTGACCCGCACCCACCTCAGCCTGCGGCCGGCTGGCCCTGCAGCAGGACACTTGGCCCTCTTTGGGGTCTGGCCCCAAAGCTGCCAATTTTGATTTGCTTCCTGACAACAAGACCATGGCCAGATCCCTGCTCTTGGAATCTGAGCCTTCACTGTTATATATTATAAATCCAGTTATTAAGGATTTTAACTTTTTTTTTTAAATTAACTCATCCCTGGGCTGGGTCTTCTTCAGAGCAGGCTGCGGGTTTTGGCCACAGAGCGCTCTCAATCAAGAGAGAGGGCTCCGTGCTGCTTCCCTGGACAGGGCTCTGTTCCCCTTTCCAAATCGGCAGTCTTTCGCAACTGCAGCCAGAAGCAGGAGGCTGCCTGTCAGGCGCAATTACGGCCAGCTCACTTGGCGGACCCCACCTCGGTCTGGGAGCTAAAGGAAGTGAGGTAAGGGGCGCGGGGCCTGCGGATCCCACATCCTGACCCTGCACTTCAAGTCCAAATTGCACTGAAAATGTCAAATGGTGTCCGCTCCCAGCCTGGGGATTCCCTGACGGCAGGAAGTGGCTGCCCTTTCCCAACCCCCATCTGACCAGGGCTCTCCTTCCTGTCTCTCTGCCCAGGCCTCTGCCCCAGCTCACTCATGAGGACCCGCCCGCAGATGTGCAGAAGGCCATAAGGAAACGTGCTCCTCGTCCCTTGTAGCAAAGGACATAGCCATGCTTCATTTAAATGCAAAGCCCAAGCTTCTCCCAGAACCTAGGAATCCCCAACCCACCCCATGTCCCCAACCAGCCAGACCCCAGACTGGTGCTTGGCCCATTGGGCCAAAGGCACATTCCCCACCTTCTTCCTAAGCACTGAAATGTCCGGCTACCACCACCTCCACCAGAAAGCCTTCCTTGACTACTCTGGCCCCTTACTAACATTTCATCCTTGAAAACATGCCACCTGGTACTCAGCCAGGTGAGGCTTTGTTTTGCAGTCCCTGAGGTCTGGGTTAATGTGGCTTTCAACATAGCAGTAATCCTTGAAAGGCCAGCATCACACCAGGGCACACCCCAAGCAGGCAGGCCTGGATCCATGCAGAGTGCAGGAAATGAATCCAGACAGGGGTCTGGGCGACAGATGCATGCTGGGGCACCAGGAATCACGAAGGCTCCAGGGCACGGCCTCCCCCTTCCCTCCGCCTCTGCCCACCCATCCCCAGCCGCAGGCCACAGCTGCGAGGGTCCAGCTCACCTCTTCCAGGATCCCTGCTGTATCCTGCACCTGGACCCCACCACGGGACAGTTCACATCCAGGAGACGGTGGAGGGAGGAGAGAAAGGAGAATAAAAGTTCACCGTCAGTGACAAGCAGCACTAGGCTGGGGCAGAGGTCAACACACCAGACGTCCCCCTAAAAGGAGCCAACCACCGCCTCCCACCTCGGTGAGGGTGACAGGCCTCCCAGACCCCCACTCCGCACGGTCCCTGAGGCAGAAGGGAAGACAGACATGGATGCAGGGGAACTGGCGGGAGAGGCCAAAGCATAAGCCTAGAGCCCACGCGTCCCTGGAAGTGACAGGAGAAAGGAAACGGACAGACAGGTGCTGCGAGGGTCCGGGCCCCGGTGCAGCACCCCCAGGAAGCACACAGGCCTGGAGCACGTGGACCCGGAGAACCAAGGAGAAGCAACCTGGACGCCCCGGGGCTGGGAGCCCTGACAGCAGGGGCTTGGACTGGACAGGAGAGGGAGAGAGACCAGGAGGGGTGGGAGGAGAAGCAGAGGGTGGGTGGGCGCAGCAGGCAAGCAGGGTTTGCACGGTAAGAACTGTCTGCAAACTGCATGGGCCGCCTCACAAGGGAGGAGGCATCCAAACAGAGCCCAAACGACCGCTTCTCAAAGCTGCAGCGGAGAGTGGCTGAGAAGAGTATTTCCTGAATCGAAGTAGCCTGGGTACCAGTAAAAGATTTACATTTTCCTACCATGACCCCCCGGAGGAGGCAGGGGAGAAGGGAGGAGGGAACAAAGCCCCTGTCACTAGCAGAGGAAAGAAAACTGGATCTTGGTGGGAACACCAAGTTGGGAACTACGGTCCAAATCCGAGCTCCTGAAATTAGCGTGGGAATCTCCTGGAGGGCTCATTAATACCCAGGTTGCTTCAGGAGACTTGACGTGGGACCCAAGACTGGCGTTTCTAACAATACCCCGGGGGCCGCCACGCTGAGAACCACTGGCCTAGGTGGATGGTTCTCAGCCCGCGCTGCACATTTAGATCCCGGGGCAGTTTTGAAAGATACCAATGCCTGGGCCACACCCCGAAAGATCAGGTTTTGTTTGGTCTGGGTGGGGCCTGAGCCTTAGTGATTTTTAAAGCTGCCCGAGGGAGTCCAACATGCTGCCCTGTTGAGAGCCACTGGGCTGGGTGACCACGAGGTCCTTCAGTCTGAGTCTGTGATCCTTGAACTTCTCAGGGAAGAAGGGCGGGAAAACCTGGGCTGGGCAGGGAGCCCAGCCCCACCCATCCTGCTCCTGTGCCCGTGACCCACTCCTCCTCGGCTTGAAGGCAGGATGTCTGCTGCCCTTCCTAGCCCGGGAGGGGGCTGCAAACACAGGGAGGCGGACAGTGAGTTTGAAGAAGCAAAGGTAAGGAGGGGAGGGAGGGTGTAGCTCAGGGGTAGAGCGCGTGCCTAGCATGCACAAGGTCCTGGGTTCAATTCCCAGGACCTCCATCAAATAAATAAGCCTAATTACCTCCCTCTCCCCCACAAAAGACCTACCTCAAAACCAGGAATGTGGTGGATGGCCGGCTAGGGTGGAGAAAAAGAGCTTAGGTTAGGTGCCTGTCACCCAAGGCCCCACCGCCCTCCTTTCTGCCCCCTCCTTTCTGCCCTGGCCAGGCACACACATCTCTAACCACAAAATTAACATCATGGAATATGTCAGTGATCAGACAGCCCAGGGACTTGCAGGCTAGTCCCGGGCAGGTGCCGTGCTGTGGCCCCTCCAGAGAGCCAGAGTGGCCTCACTTCCAACCAGCTCACATACTAGGGTTCCCATCACACTAAGAGCAAGTCTGACTGTCTGGCTCTAACCCAAACCCCCTGGCTACAGCAGGGAAGTGGCCAGCTCAGGGTCGCACAGCCAGGCCTCGGCAGAGCCAGCACTAGAACGGAGGTCCTGCCGTGACCTGGCCTGGACTCCCCTCCTCGACGACAATTAAGCCCAAACCCGCGGTCCTCCCAGAAACCACGTCAGGGTGTGACCCAGGGAAAAACACATCCAAATGGCCAGAGGACTCAGACATTTTAACAGCTCAGATCTCAACTTTCTGCCCCAATGTTAGATCGTGTCCTGATTTGGGGTTCAGAAAAGATGGGCAAAACCATTGCTGGCAGGAGGCCTAACATTCAGAGGTGGCCCTTCAGTGACCCTCACAAAGTGCAAGCCCTTGGCAGGGGAAGAAGAATGATTCAAAGGCCCCTCCCCTCCATCAAACCATCCCCTGCCTATGCCCCCCACCCTCCTCCCTGCCCAGGCCTCCTGAGTCGGGATGTGGACCAGCCTCACCTTCTCTCTCTGGATGAGCTCAAAAGAGGCCAGCAGCTCACCTGCCGGCTGGTTGCCCCTTGTCAGCGGGAACCAGGCCAGCCGGGGCATCCGTTCCAGGCTTGGCTGACAGATGCAGCGTCCCATAAACTCATCTGCACCCTAGACGGGGCGTGGAGAAAGAAGAGTCAGCGTCCCCCAGCCTGGGGTTCTGGCGGCCTCAGAGCAATCACCAGACCTGCATCTGGCCTCCTGACCTTGGAAGGACCGCAGAACTCAGGGAAGCCCCTGGTGCGGGGTGGTGAGCTCTGACTCCCTAAGCAGGATGCAAGGGAAGCATGTGAGTGGTCTCTTGCCACTGTTGCTAGATTTGAATTCCCACTGATGGTCCGGAAGTCCCTCTGTATGTCCAACTAGCGTTCACCCTGCTTTAATTTAATCAAGCGCTGAGCCCACCAGAGACCACAGTGACAGCCTCCTAGCTTTTCTTCAATGCCTCAGCCGTACAGGTGCTTGACATCTTCCCAGGGCTTCTGTATCTCCTGTTCATTTCACATTTAAATCCCCCAGCCCCTAAGTTTCCACATGGGAAGGCTGATCATGCTCATCAAATTAAATGACTCTTGTTAAAACAATGCTTTCATCTTATCATTCCTTTGCTCCTTCCACGGCTCCACACTGCCTGGAGGATAAGAGTTCAAACCCCCTTCCTGGCACGGAAGGCCCTCTCACTGGAGCCTGCTCACCTCTCCTGCCTCATTCCCTTCCCACATGGCTTTTACTCCAGCCTGCTGGCCTCAGCTGGCCTCTCACTCCCTGGCCTTGACCCAGGCCATTTCCCCCAGCCGTGCTGCCCTTTACTCCTCCCAGCCACCTCCCACAGCTTTGCCCAAGCTAGGCCCTCTGATGTGGGTCCCTTTGACCTTGCTGGCTTGTGAACTCTGGCCTTGTGGTTAGCTTCCCCAAGGGCAGGGGCTGCAGACAGAACCTGGTCTCAGCCAGGTGGCGTCACAGCCATCACAAGCCCTGGTGCCTGGCTCAGGGCACTCCTGAGGAAGCCCAGGGCAGGACTGGCAGGCACCCCTACCTGCAGTCACATCACTGCTGGGGACATCACCAAGAACCATTCTCGAGTGGCCACCAGCTTCTGCATAATGCTCACACCAGCGGGTGGCAGTCCAGCATGGACCACTCAGAGCGGACACCAGCCACAGCACTGGGAGGGGTCCTGGAGGCTCCTTTGGGCCCAGTGTTGCCCTTCAGTCCCTGGGTCATGGAGGAGCTGGGAAAGGGGAGCCCTTGCAGAGCCCAGGCAGCCAGGACAGCAGGAGCTCAGGGAAACACATATTGGCCAACAGGTACAGACTCATTTGACTGTCCTATCAGTGAACAAAGCCTCCGCTCTCCCCGGGGAACCCGGCCGGGCCTTTCTCTCCTGGGATCCCTCCTAGGCACTGGCCCAAAGGGGAGAGACTAACATTTTTAAAAGAGGAGGTGAGGTGCTATTGGAAGAGAGAGACCGTCCTACCAGCCTCCTGCCCGCCCTGTGCCAGCATTGCACCTGCTTCCGCTAAGTCCCCGGGCCGGCGCCCTCCTGGTCCTCCCACCTCCCACAGCCGCCTCCCCGAAGGCACCAGGCCCTGTGCTTTTCCCCCGAGAGCCCCCAGTGCACTCCTCCTCCATCTGCTTGTGCCCCATGGAGCCAGCTTTTCCTTCTAAGAGCAGAGCTCCCAGGTCAGCCTCTCTGGTCCACTGCCAGCTCTAATCAGCATGGCCTTC